GAAATCAGAAAGGCAGCCATCCAGAATCGAAAAGGCAAGATACGCCTCCTTCATCAACCTGAAACTAGTTTGGAAATCTTATGCTTCACTCAGCCAGCCAATATAAACAACAAGATTCAGATTCTGTTCAACACAAATGTTAAGTTATTCAGTCAGTCAGTCAGGTCTTCTATATGGTTCAGAAACTTGCACTGCACACACACACACACCACGTAATGCATTCCCACTGACTGTCTCCATACTGAAGATCAAATGGACAGCCGCCTAGCTAGAAAGAATAAGCAACAAGAAACGCTAGCTGACGACGAACCAATCAAGCGTCTATTGCTAAACAATTTTAAAGGGGAAAATGGAGATGGATAGGGTATACATTGAGGAGACCGTCGAATGACATCGCGCGCGCGCAGTGCAGTGCAGGCCATCGCTCGAGTGGAATCCCAATGAGAAGCGATAAGTGGGTTGTCCTGGGATGACATGGAGGAGACCGTGTGGCAAGGAGGCGGAGGAGATGAGAGATTATGGTCAATCGTGGACCCAGTTGAAGAGGACAGCGGAAGATGGGACAAAGTGGAGATGTGTTGTTGAAGCCCTCCACTCGGAACTCAAAGGAATAATAATAATAATCTTGATTGCCATTTATGATATCAAACAGATTGATCACACGAAATCAGTTGGTGGATGGTGACTAGCAGTCGAATCCAGGATAACGCGCACTTAGTCCTATTTGGGACTCGCCAGCTGGATATGTCTGCATTACCGAATGAATCAGTGATGGGATTCTCATTAAGGTTGGGACCCAGTGCCCACAGTTTCAAACTCCAAAGCGTTGTCCACTGAACCACTTGGAGTACGAGAATCACCTCTTGTGCAACGGGCCATATTAATTATTTAATTCAAATTTAAATTTTCCCGCCTACTGATTGAACCGAAGTGTTAGGTCTCGGGTTGACATATCAGCTCCTTGAAAAGATGCTTCAACGATGTTTGGCCGTATAACTTGAAGTCGGTTAGTTGATGGTGTTGGGTTTGAGCCTCGGTAGGAACACCATCACTCACTCACTTGGGAATGCAGGTACATCCAGGGGCTGATGAGTCACAAATAGGACGAAATGCGCATCCTGACTGGATTCCACTGTTAGTCACCATCAACCACTTGACTTTAAGTTATATGACAAGACATCGTCGTCTATGCATCTGCACAAGGAACCGACATGTTAATCTGAGACCGAGGAGCATATCGGTTCAATCATTCGATGGGAAAATTTAAAATTGAATTAAATAACACCATGTTACTTTGTTTGATGATAAATATCAATGAAATCTACGACGTGAGTTTCGTTCCATGTCAGATTAGTTGGCTAGAAGGGTATCTGCATCTTCCTCAGTGAATGACACAATATTCCCACTGAGATACAGTGGAACTCACTGTAATCGGTAAATTGTTTGGTAAATCCCACCTGGATGAACTATTTATTGGATTCTTATTTTCCTGATAGAATGCAGTATATTGTATATAATGGAGAATCTTCTTTTGCCTCGCTTACAAAAGCCAGTGTTTCTCAAGATGCCATCCTTTCTCCTTTTCTTTTTTCTTTCTTCCTACACGACCTACCTCATTCAAACGAAACTAACTTTGTCAAATATGCAGATGATCTGACTGTATCACTGCCTATCACTTCTGAGTCTGACAGCTTCAAACTTAATAGCTTTCTGTTGGACATCAACAAGTGGTCTGAGTCAAATGGCCTTATGTTAAATCCTTCCAAATGTCAGGCACTTGACTTTACTTTCAAGCATCGACGCGACTTACTTGAACTACTTAGCTCGCATGATCCCTGTAGCATAGATGGCACGGAAATTGAAACCAAATCAAGCATTAAATACCTTGGATTAGTTCTTTCCTCTGACCTTTCATGGTCATCCCACATCTTATCAATCTCTAAGAAAATGTTTCATCTTACCTTCTACATTAAAAAAAAGTTAAGACAATCAGGTATCAACCAACCTTTAGTTTTGCAATTTTTAAACTCCTGTATTCTACTTATTGTACTCTATTGCTCTCCATTAATCTTTCCTGGGCTTCTCAAAAAAGTTTATATCATATTACGAAGGGTATTAAATGCTGTGAGTAGGGCTTGTGGTCTGCCACTGCATGAGCTCGCCAATACTATAGTCGAGAGGCATAAAAATTCCTGTACAAAATGGGCAAAGGCCGTACTCTCAGACCATCTGCACCCCCTTTATTCACACCTATCCCCCTTGTATCTCATCAGGTAGGACGAGAAGTTAATATAAGAAGCTAAATGCTCGAACCACTAAGTACAAAAATTCTACAATACCGTATTTAACACGTGTTTTATGTGATGAAGACACTGTTAGACGTGAAACATTTAAGAATTTACTATATAATTAGCAAAGTGAATCGACCCTTAAATCGTTCGTTCATCTTTCTGTAATTAATTTTATGGTGTCACCCTCTTTCTATCGTTTAATTATAACTTTGCTATTTTATTTTTAGTTGTTATTACTATAATTTTATACTTTATGCATATTTTTCTCCATATCGCATACTGTAATTTCCTACATAGCTGCTATAACAACTTTTTGTTGTTATTATTATGTAACGTTTATTTTTTGTCGTTTTTGAGTAAATTCGATGCAATATTATACTGAATGCTGAAAATTCCTTGCTGTATCATTAGTACTGTTTTTGGAATAAAGCAAAAATTATTATTATTGTGTCAGTTAGGTGTCAAGAAATCGTACTAGCGAACAATTTCTGCCTTTCAAACAGAGACTTTTAGGGATATGCTCAGAGAATCTAGGAGACACTCTCCTCTCAGTCCTTCCTAGGTACTTGCTGTTACAAGTGCAGGTGAATTGGTAAATGCAGTTGGAGTTGACACGCGGAGCAGGATAATTATCTACTTTTGACTAGGTTGACGAGCATACTGTGTTGTGAAATGGAATGAGTTTAGCGGCGGGAATTGTTCTTTTCAATGAACCAGTAATTCTGTTTTCCGTTCTTGCGGATACTTCTTTGCCTTTGTCTGCTAGGCAGATAAAAACTGGTTTCTTTTCAACTATTTCAGGTTTCTGTCCGGGTGTTTTTTCTTTTCCATACTTCGATATGAACTTCCAAGGATATCCATTTTCGATAAAGTTTTCCTCGATGACTGTGAGTTCCTCTTCAATCTTATCTTCTGAACACAACGTCTTAGCTCTGTTGAAGAGCGTTTTCACCAGGCTCCATTTGTAGCCAAATGGGAAAAGCTCTGATAACTCAATCATTGGCTTGGCCAAGTTTCTTCCCTATAGATGGGTTTTTCAGTCATCCCATTATTTCATCTTTTTTATGCTGAAATCTAGGAAGTGGAACTGATTGTCACATTCATGGTCCTTTATAAATGTTATGTGAGGGTGAGTCGCACTGAGGTTTTCAAAAATCGTAGATGCATGATCCATCTGATCACGAACCACAAACGTGTGATCAACATACACCTGTTGAAAAGAATCCGAATCTTGTTCTTCATGCTAACTGAGTGCAGAAGATTTCCAAACTGGTTTCAGGCTGATGAAGGCGTGTCTTGGTTTGTCATTATTATGCGTTTTTCCCCTAGACTATATATCATCATTTTGACATTTGTACATATCATGTGTTGATTCTGACTTCCATATTTGATAAGTTTGTAATGACAAAAGACAAGGGCCAGGTAACAGGTCGTTTATTGAGAAAATCAGGAGGTATTTTATAGATTCTTATGTGCATTTTTATTAGCGTTATTGTTAGCGGAGCATTGTTTCTTCAACTACAGGCACAGTCGGAACGCACGAGGAGTTCAAATCGATAGGGAATCGGGAAGGCGAGCGAGAAACACATCAACATCATCAACCTGAAACCAATCTGGAAATTTTCGTCACTCAGCATCAGCGTCGGTGGCACACTGGTTAGAACTCTCGCCGACCATGCAAATGGTCCAAGGTTCGATCTCCTGCCGACGCACACCCTATATCAATGGTCAGCCTGAGAAATTCGGGCTACCGATGTCCATGCTGAAAATTCCATACTTGTACCAAAAATACGATGTGGAGTCAAGCTGCAATCAAAACAAATAAAAAATAAAAAATTCGGTCGGATTTTTAATACAAACAGCGTCAAGTCAGTCAGTTCTTCTATACGGATGAGAAACTTGGCGGGTGGGTCACAAAGAATATTTTCAACCAACAGGCTATTGGAAACCTTTATCAACAACTGTCTTCGCTCTATACTGAAGGTCAGATGGCCGGGCGGGCCAGAAAGAATCACCAACTATTGGAAACTATGGGAACAAACCCGAAAGGGAAGCGCCGAGTGGGGCGTTAGTGCAAGAGTGACATGGAGGATATCGTGTGAAGAGCATTTGAAAGAGTATGGACTAACATGGATGCGGGTGAAAAATACAGCAGCAGAAGACAGAAGCAAGTGGAGAAGTGCAGTTGAAGCCCTATGTTTCACTAGGAACCCAAGGGAACAATAAAAATAATAATGTTAGCGGAGAAGCAACGTCTTCTGATTGGTTATCTTTTTGCTGAAGGCACTGCCTGTGACCGTTTCTTAGAAAGTTAAGCCATGTATCCACGAATCGTACTTGCACACATTAAGTCTGCTGTGATTGGTTGGTGAGCTCCTCAAAACTAAGCCTTATTACTGTATTTTTCTCATGACTTCAACTCAGGACGAAAACATTGACGTAAATTTTTGTCTACAACGTTTTGGCTTGTTCTTGGCCAGCTCTCACCACAAGTTTATTTTTCAAATATCAAACAGTGATGCCCCCCAACTAGGAGTAGTGTGAGACAGTTGGTTGTCCAAGTACTCTCCACCCATCTTAATGATTTTCTAATGATGTTCTCTAACCGCTGATGTCAACTCATCATGACGAAATCCTCTAAATAGAACGTTTTAAAAAAAAAGTGAGAACAAAATAAAATTTAAAAGGAAAACTGTCTTACACACTTACATATTACTCTGTTTATTATCTAATCAATTCGCTTTGGCTTTTGTTCGGCAATTTGAATACTCCTCTCTCCTTTGGTGGGGGAATGAAATTGGATGCGTACCTATGTGTGTGTGTGCGAAGATTGCATCACCAGAATAATGAAGAATTTTGGTTTTAATTAAATGAAATAGCCACCGGTGTACGTGAACGATATTTTCTATGAAAACTGATACCAGGTAAAGTTGGTCGTCGAAATTTTTGTCGTCTAGTCAACAGGATAGTATCATCAACGTGTTGATTGGATTGTTGTTGCTGTTGTTGTTGAGACTGGTGTTGTTGGTGTTGAGGCAGGTGTTGAGACTGGTGTTGAATATGTTGATGATGATCCGATAGTTGACGAGAGCATTTTATATTCTCATCCGATGGTGAAGTAATCAACATCATCATCATCATATCCTCTTGAGGTTGCTGTTGTTGTCTTCGCTGATATTCTTCTTTACTTTCTTGAAGTACTTCTTGAAGTCGAATAACTTTTTTACGACTTAAAGAAGGAGAATTTTTATTCGATTGGAATGTTTTTAAAAAACGTTGATAACTAAATGATGATGACAATGATTTTGTATTTAATTTTGTTGTGTTCATTTCAGTCTTTAATGTTTTTTGATCACGATTTTTACTTGTATTCAATGCAGTGACAGTCTTTAGAGATGAAGATGAAGTCAACGATTGTAATGATGCTTGTTCTTTTTGTTTCTGTACAGGTTGAGGTTGAGCGAGGGGTTGTGGTGGTTGTGGCAGTGGCGATTGTTGCGTCTTCCCTTCATCTATCGATGAAGTCACCACTTGTTGACTAATAAGATCAGCAAATATCTTAAAGGTTAGTAATTGACTAGCTGTTGGACGATCAGTTGGATTACGAGCAAAACATGCATCTAGAACTGATATAAGCCCGGTGGATAGACCTTCAGGATATGTTGGCGGGGAATTTGATGTAGCGATCTAAAAAAGAAAGTAGTAGTAGTAGTAAGTAGAGGAGATAGACAATCAGTTGCATGGATGGATCGACTAATAACTGCGTGTATATACGTCATTTTTTTCTGTTTGATATCGATCAAATAATGGTTCTCTAACCAATGTCAGCTTCACCAGCGTGATGAAATCCTGCAGTCAATCAACCAAATCCCTACAAAATCAACACTTGAATATCAATAAGATGCTCACTGGCAACTGGTCCTATTCAGGTAGGTGCTGGTTACCTGAGTGGGTCCTAGTGGGAAGTCGTAACCAGTAGGGTGCAGCAGGTCAGCTGGTGTGAGGACAAATACTCGCCACGGATGACATTGGCTAGCGGTTGCGCTATATCGCACGCAAATTAGCAGAAGTTAGAATTCATACACTGGCCATTGGCCATTGAGTCCCTGCGGCTTAATGGTCTACCAACTATCTCGCCTTGTAACCAGAAGGTCCTGGGTTCGAACCCCGGCAATGGGTGCGTACTTCTGAAGAGTCCCAAACAGCTGTCCAGTACTCCCTGGCTGATTTTCCAATGATTCTCTAACCAATGTCAGCTCATGATGAAATCCCTGTCGCCAATTAGAGAACCCGTTGAAAAGCTAGGAGGACTGAACAGCTGTTTCGTCCTTGCTTGAGACTTCTCAGCGGTAGGAAACAGCTCTCCAGTACTTACTGACTTTCAATGCTTCTCTGGCTAATATTAATCCATGATGTAATTTGAACACCAAACCAACCCATGTAAATTGGTCATATGAATGAAAAATATTCAGAATGAATGAACTAGAATGCGTCCTTTATCCTCGTGAACCTTGCAATATCCAGAGTCTTAGTGATTGGTTTCAGCATAGGACTATGCATGGATGTGCATAGATGAGAGTAAAGAAATATTCCACAAAAGAGAGAGAGACAATAAACACGAATGTGAGTAAGGGAAAAAGAACAATAATGTGGAAGAAAAGAACAATAGAGTTTTATTGGATATGACTCACAAGTCACAAAGAGTGAATGCATCTGTGCCAGCCATTGATAACGATGATTTCGAGCCATATTACCAATTATCTTTAGACTTCATTGGTTCTGACCATCATCCCGAGGACGCCAACCAGTCAGACAGGTAGTCAATCTACAACCCTCTACGTCACTCGCCGGCTGGCTGGCTGGCTGGCTTAAACTAACTTTGTTTTTTTTTATTATAGCTTGATTCCACACTGTACTTTTTGGTACAAGTATGGAATTTTTAGCATGTGATATCGGTAGCCCAAATTTTGCAGGCCGATCATAGATATCAGGTGTGCGCGTTGGCGAGGGCTTGAACCCTGAACCATTTGCATGGTCGGAGGGAATCCTAACCGCTGTGCCACCAGCGCACTTTCAGGATTTAATTGACTAATGAAGTTATCCTTTGGTCTAACCACCACTAGATCCTTTCCAACCTGATTAATCCTATGTCAGTCAGCTGATATTGCCTGTTGTCGAGGTAGTCGATGGCTGGTCATGCGTAACACATGCCCCTAACCATCTCAATAGATGCAGCTGCTTCACACCCTTTGTCGATTGATTCCCTCTCCTTATCTAGCACTCGACTGAAGCCTTTCCCTATTACACCTTCCATATAACACGAGAGATAGAAAGCAGATACCAGTGATCAGGGACAGCCTGCTAACCATGCTTTTGATGTCTTCCACTTTTAATGGACATGTCTCATAACCAGACATAAAGGAGGACCGGGCGAGTTCTTCAGTAGTATACACGCCTTTTGATCGACAACCAGCCAGTCGGATATCACACCCGAGATGACGTAAGTTGGCAGGCAAACGCAAAACAAGCTTTCTGTATTCGTGCTCAGATTTCGTCAATGATCAAATCGTCGGCGCTGGCTGATGCAACTTCCAAAATAAGTGAGGTGGTCAACAAGCGCCACCAACCACTTCACTCCTGCCTATCTTTAAGCTAGGAGTGAGTCAGTGTGGTCCAGTCCAGCCCAGTCCTATAGCAAATATCATCTTACATTTGACAGGAGCCGCTGAACCGCATATGTCAAACACTCGAGAATTGTTGCTGAAGGTATTCAAAAGGCCATATTTTGTCAGTGTCTTCACCTAAGAAGGAAGACTATATCATCCGCATACTTTAAATCAACGAAGTTGTACCCTGATAACAAGTCAATGTCTGAGTTGCTGAAATCAGTTAGGGAGGTTAAACTGGTAAATCGATGATGAAATTAAACAGAAATGGGGACGGTGGGCATCCCTGATGAATCCCACTGATTGACATCACTTCAGATGACAACTCTTCGTAAACTCTCACCTGACTTGTTTGAGTTTGAGTAGAGTGTCTTGATCAGTGACGTAATTTCTCGGCATTGTCTTCACGGCCAAACATTGCCGTAGTACCTCTTGGTCGAAGGAATCAAATAGCCGCTTTCAGGTCAAGAAATATGAAGATTGTTGGACACCAGTAATTATACCCAGCGTAATGTTACAAATCATGAATCTTTAGCACCCTAAATCTTCTGTTAGAAAGGTGAGTTTGTCGCTACTTAACTAGTGGGTTTCAGATCTATGATTATTAACTTCTGCCAATTCGCGACATGACATGATTGGCAGATGCTTAACGAAGATGCTTACCAATCCTATTGCGAACAAGGTGAATATAGCGACATTGGATGAACCTCGAGGAAGGCGGCAAGTCACCTCCTTTGCATTTTCATGTCATAGCTCTTGATCGAGTTTAGTTAACGATGATGTTAGCAGTCTAACTCTAGGGTAGTCTAAGAGGAGTTTTAGGATAAAAAATGCAGCTGGAATTTCGTGAGAACCAGGCTAGACAGGATAGAGAAATGAGATCCTTTCAAAAAACAGTTGGGCCTGTTAAACCTGCTCAATGATGATGGGTTGTATGACCTTGTGACTCAGACAATGCCGCCTTTACCGTCTACTTTAAATTTACGAACAAAAGTCTCTAAAGAAGTGAAAACTGTTTATAGGGTACCCAGTTAATGTTCAGTTAAATAACTACGAGTGCGAAACCCCCAAAAGCGTTTAAAATGCCATCAGAAAGGTCAATCCTTATTTAAGGTAGAAAGGTTCTTAAGAATAAAGACACTTTAAAAAAAACTCGAGATTAACGATGGTTTTATTATTCATTTGGAAATTTTAGGAGCAACAACAATCTCCACAAGTGAAACAAACTTGTACTACACCTTCAGTAGTTAGAAATGTGATGGAAAGCTGGAGTACGGGTGGAACCGGAAACTCTGGAGTAAAATACTTCTGATGATATGCACCAAGCTATGCAGGTAAAAGTAATGTAGAAGCCTGAACTTCGAAATATGCTAAATTACCAGGAGAAAGAAAGTGATTCCAAACCAAACTTCCCAACCTGTATTGATTTTCAACATGATTGTCAGAGGTCAGACAGGTAGTGGTCGTCTCAAAGCCTAAATTCTTTGGTGACCGAAAACTGGTACTTTCAATTCTGGATGAACCATAACTTAAACCAGATGTGATTTTAGACTTACCAACCTACGTAGACGACTCAGAAATCAATGCACCTCAGCTACTTAGTGTCTTCATACCCATTCGTTCCTATGAAGTCAGTTATATTAAAAGCCCGATTGTAACTCCGTTTGAATGAAGGCAAGGTTAAGGTGTGGAGTGATTACTTAACCGATTGAAAATGCCCATTAAAATTTTCAAAAGAATGGATACTGAACAAAGAGTACTCTTTTCGATAACCCCTTCATCATCAGGCTCTGCAGTTATATATACATTATAGCGAATGAATGAATTAGTGTAATTAACAACATTAATGTTGTTTAAATAACAACGAATCAATCATGTCAATAGATTACAGCTCAATAACATCAACATAAAATAAGCTGAATGTCAGAAAACACATTAGGAAAGATAATATTACAAATTCATGAATTTATAGTTTCTACTGAAGGCCGGCCAGGGCAGTAGTATTAGGGGCTAGCTGAACTTGCTTCTTTTGAACACAGAGCACTGGTTGTTTGAGGCGAATTGTAATAGCCTCTGCTGTTTGAAGCATGCGGTGCTTTGATGTTTTTGGCAATTTATTAGGCACCCGGTAGATGATGATAGAGAAGGATTCTTCCACGCTGACTGGCTTTGTGACCGGCCGGTTTGGAACAGATGGTCTAATATCGAACTGTTGATGATGGTTTTTACTACACCTTTACTTAGCCATATTGGAAGATTTTCCCGAGTGAAAACGGAAAATCAAGTCCCTAGAACAACAGCCGATATAACTTGCTCCACCACAAGCGTAGTTGAATTGATAGATACAATTTGAAGTGGCCAGGTAGTCTAGGTACTTCATCTTTCAGTCAGTTGAGCTAGCACCATCGGTCGTGTAGAGAGCAAGTTCTTTGAACTGATTTTCTTAATTTCCTCGTAATTATCTCATCACTTGGTATATCCATCGCCCATAAATTGTAGTCGTATATAAAGTGGCTTAACCGTCGACTGTCTGCAGGACACGTGTTTTGTTTTGTTTATAACTCTAGCTGACAGAGTTGGGGAATATCCTTTGTAAAAATTTTCAGGTATTTTTTTCGAAAAAATTTCATGAAACAGAATAAACGCCCGCACACACACACACACACACAAACACACAGACGAGTGCACTTACAGTATACATTAGAGCATAACGATTCGTCAGTCTAGCATCATGCCATGGAGGTTTACTCGTCAACATTTCTATTAGACAACATCCAACCGACCAGATATCACAAGCTCTACCGTAGGTTTCACCACGAAGTACCTTTTGAGAAAAAAATCAAAGCAAAGTGTTTCATACTATTATCATATCACATTTGATGAAATCAAAATTTAAATAGAGTTTTGATGATATTAGATAGTTGGAGGCAATCGATAGGAAGTCTTGGACCTAGGTTTCATACTAGTTGGCACCCAACAGTCAGTCAGTCAGCAAGGTGTATCTGCAACCTCGAAGGAATTCGTGTCCCTTCTGAGATTCGAAACCGTATCAACCAGTGAGAGCTGCAGTCAGAGACGTTACCACCACTGAGCTATTCGGGCTGGCTCGCGATTGACCTCCTGTAAGACTGTAGTGGGTAGTTTGATTGCACACTAGTAACTAGTGTGACGTGTTTAGTCCTTTCTTTGGTGCAGACTGAATTCTGTCAGTCAGATTTGCAATGTGGCCACCATTCTAGGTAGCTCGCCATCACGTTGCACATTGATTTGAGTTAATTTTCAAGCTGTACAATTGTGTACATATGCTTGTTTTTAAGAAATTATATCCGGTGAGGGAATTAGGTCAAAGGTGTGAATACATGAAATAATAATAGTAAGTAGTGGTATGAAATACAATTAAAATATTTTCAGTTATATGCCTTGTTCTAATATTATAAATGCGAATATTTAAAGATGATAGAATCATAGTTAAATGTCAAGTAGCGAAACAAGTAATGTCATACATAGAATAATTCAAAAGAGCCTTAGTGAGTGAGGTGCCTCTTCAGTAGAATCCAACGAAAATGCACTGAAGACACACTTGATGAAGAAGAAAGAAAGTTGACACAAACTCTGTCTGGTTGATAACAATTATCCAGAAAAGAGTGTTCATCAGGAGATATAAAGTAGTCAGTGGAAGACCAAGACTCACTCTAAAACTCACCCCTAAAGAAAGATGTGTACATCAAGCTACCCTGTATGGGACGTCATAGCAGCTTGATAACTAGACAAAGATTGAACGCTGCTGTTAAAAAAAGACTTTTTATGCAGTTAATATCATAATAATTAAGAATGTGAAGCCCATATATCCATCAATCTAAGTCCTTCGAACATGCGAAAAATGATGTCACATCCCACTGTATTTACCAATTTGAATGTACATGTGGACAGACATACATAAGGAGGACTCGTCGATCTCTGTAAGTAAGGCCTGGCTTCACAGCATATTCTTAAATGGCTCCAGAAACCAACAGAATCCTCAGAACGCATTAATGGTGACAACAGACGACAACCTAGCTCCTCTATTGCGAAACATATAAAAGCGACGTTTACACATCTTTCAAACCTATACATAAAATGTGTTTGGGGCGTATCCTAAAGTTTATGGAAGTCCTAGCTGGTAATTAGGAAGTTTAAACCACCTTTATGCGTTCAAAGCAAAAATTCGTCATCACACTAAACCACCTTTCTTCGTAAACTTTGTTTTGATACCAGCCTGGGTAGATGTACTATTGTGGTGAGAGCAGGCTGCTAGCCGATTGGTTGACACTAAGCTACGTTAATATGGGCCGTGAGAAAATATGAACAAGCCTGAGTCAACAACCAATCACAGCAAAGTTAACGTGGCAAAATATGATTCGCAGATAGAGAACTCTATTTGTCAAGGAATCCCGAAACAACCAATCCGAAGCCTGCGTTTGTCTGCCTAACGTCTGATAAACAACCAATCAGATAACTGCGCTTGTCTACTTGCATAAGCTATAATAATGTATGTGAAATATGTATAAATACGTGTTGATTTTCATAATAAAACGATCTGTTGCCTGGCCCTTGTCTTCTGTTGTTACACTATTACCTCTGCTATTTGGCTTAGTGGTCTTCATTGTTATTTTGACCTTGAATATGTCCTCCTTTCAACTTGACCTAAGTCTATTTATTCTCTCACCTATCAACTCTTTATTAATTTCATATGAGTATTCCTATGACAAGTACGTGGAGTATGATCAGAGTGTTCGAAATGTGCTGAACAAATGCACATTACACGATTCAGACAAATTACGTCTTCTTATTGCTTTACCTAAATTCATAAAGGGGACTAATTGTTTGAAATTCATAAGGTGTATATGTGTTGGTGGGTGGGAGTGCATAATTATTGGATTAGTAGGTGAATGTAAAATGTTACATGAAAATGGTGTAAAATTTGATAAGATAGAATTCAATATTGTAAAAATAAAAAAAATTAAAATTGATAATTTCGGATTAAGAATGACAAGTGGAAATAATTCAAAGTGAAAGCAGTCAGCAGCAGACGTTCTTTGCAGTAAAATTACAAATGACGTTCACCAGCCGCAAGTTGTTCTCTACCTCTGTAAAAAAATAAGCTCCCCCGTCTGGCCACCTCTATGTACATCTATCAGTTCACCCGCTTCTCTTGTGAAGCAAGGTACATTGACCGTAGCAAGAGAATGCTTTCCACACTGATAGGAGAACATATTCCAGATTGGTTTCACAAGGGAGAAAGGAAGTGTGTGCGAAGCTCTATTCTCGAACACTTGATCGACTTCTGTCACTCTCTGCGCCAACACTGACCATGAATTCAAGATCATATACAAAATCCATGCTAACTTCCTGCGTTTTCTTCGTTACAGACTTAGAAAGACAAATGAGGCCTTGACAACTCATGACTTAAAGCCAGCCAGACGTTTATGTACAAAAGAAGTATGTACAATCCCTACTTCTGCCTTGGCCGTAGAGGAATAGACATTTATTTATTTATTTTGTTTATTTAGTTATTCTATGTACTCTCGCTTATTACTACGATTATTATTATTATTATTACTATTCTCACTCTGAATTGTTTCCACTTGTCATTCTAAATTCAAAATTATTACTTTTTATATTTTTTTATTTTTACAATATTGAATTCTATCTTATCAAATTTCACACCATGTTATGTAACACTTTATATTCGTCTACTAATCCAATAATTATGCACTCCCACCCACCAACCCTATACACCTTATGTATTATTCTATATATGACAGTTGTTTTGCTACTTGATTTTTAATTGTGATTATCATCAAAAATATTTTAATTGCATTTCATACTACTACTATTATTTCACACCTTAGACCTAATTTTTGATAGCGTTATTAGAAGACGGAGATTATCTGAAAAACTATGTGATGTATTGACATTTCGAACAATCTGATCCCTCAGACATTTACTTGTCAAGTCAATATATATGGAAAAGTTAAATTAAACAAAGTGAGAGAAAAAGGAATTAAGAATGATTAACACAACGTTTGGTAATCCAATCAAATAAGGATTACCAAGGTAGGTAGGTTAAGAGTAATAACAAACTGTTTTTGAATACACAGGGTGAGGGGGGGCTTAAGTTTATGAATAGCTATAGCCTCAGCGTATTTCAGTAAACACCCTTGACCGTCTTTATAGATGACCTTAAAGGCTGAGTTAACATCAATCTTATGGTTCATCTCGATTAGGTGTTAGCCTATAGACGAAGTTGGTAATGTGACACATGCACCTATTGGTTTTTCACAATTCATTTGTTTTTCTAACCATTTTGAGCTATGCTCTCCCACCCTCACTCCTCCCTGTGTATGTGTGTCCACACACACACACGAAAATTGGTAAATAGTGTGGGATGTGACATAATCACTTGTGCACTTTTGAGGTTTGCAGTGGAGCATATTTTTAGCTTTTTCGACAATTACAAGCTGGGCTGCATATTAAGTTCTACGGATGATCGAATTCAACTTTTGTCGGAAAAATCTTGTTTATTTCCCCGTTATATGGTAATTTGATGAAGACATTTTTCTTAGGGGTGGTATAGATTGTAGGTTTAAAGACTAATTGACTTCTACACCTGTTTAAATATTTTAAAGGATATCCGTTTTCAACAAAGAATATCCATCAATATTTCGTTATATTTGTCTATAACATCAGCCGTGCAAATACGCTGAATCCTCTTTTAATAGACACTTCACCAAGCGCAAATACATCATATCATTTTTCAGATAATCTCCGTCTTCTAATAACGCTATCAAAATTTATAAAAGAGACTAATTGTTTTAAATTTGATTTAATTCCCTCACCGGGAAGCACATGTATACAATTGTTGTACAGCTTGATAATAAATTCATTGTTGAAAAGAGTCTCTTCACAGAATAATATATTATTAATACTTTAATGGGAATTATTAAATTATAAACAGAGTTGTCAACATTTACTAAATGGGGAATCTAATTTTAAGAAGTAGAGTTACAATGAATACTATACACAATGAGTAATTGCTTTATTTGAAACCAAAGAGAACCGACATGCATTAAACTCAGTAATATGTGCACAAAATGTAGGTAGACATTCTGGTAATATGTGTCGAAAGTGTATGACTCTCATTGTGTAAGTAGACAAATGACTGTACACCTGGAACCTAAGGCACCCCAGTCTACCAGTCTGCCATAGTCAGCACCACCTGTACCACAGTACAGGTAGACTATAATATAGCGATTTGCCACTCTGTATGTTGAGGAAGGCGGTCCGTATTCAGTATAGATGGTACTCTCTGTCCAAGGCCACGGGAGTTCTCCGAAAATAAATCAGTAACTATTCCACGCTATTTCTTACATATTAGGCCTCCTAAATTGTATGGTTACAATTAATGATATGATAATGAACAATTGATTGTGTTCGGAACTTCATCGTTCAGTAATAAATAGCAAATACTGTTTCACTGTGGGTGTGATATATCTAATAGACAGAAGACCCGTAGTTCAGCGAAAAGTCTCTTTTCGCCGACGAATTCATTTTCATAGCTGTAGAATCACAAATATATATGGTTGTTTTCTATGTGTGTGTGTGTGTACATTAAATTTGTCAAACGCAAAAAATACAATTAGTAAGTTCAGATGAATTGGATGTTGATATACGAGGGTAGTGTAACAAAAGTGATGAGTTGTCATAAATGATTGTTAAATCAGAGTTGGGTGATAATATGAATAACTAACTCTAACTCTAACTAATGTCAGCTCATGATGAAATCCTGAAGCCAATCAAATCCCAACAAACAAACACTTAAATACCAATGAGATGCTCACTGGCGACTGGCCCTATTCAGGTAGGTAGTTACCTGGGTTCTAGTGGGAAGTCGTGACCAGTAGGGTGCAGCTGGTCGGGTGTGAGGACAAATACTCGCCAGCGAAGACATTGGCTAGCGGTCGCGCTATGTCGTGAATTGGCAGAAGTTAGAATTCAAGGACTATTGGATCGGGTCCCAGCGGCTTAATGGTCTACGAGCTCGTTAGTCTTGTAACCGGAAGGTCTTGGGTTCGAACCTTGTCGGTGGGTGCGTACTGACGAAGAGTCCCAAACTAGGACGAAACAGCTGTCCAGTACTCTCAGCTGGTTTTCCAATGGTTCTCTAACTAATGTCAGCTCATGATGGAATCCTGAGATAATATGAATAGTTTGATGAAAGAGTTGTGCTCAGGGTGTACATGGAAACAAGATAATATACGGAATTACACAAGGGTTTTTAAGTAGTTAGAAAAATAAGCATACAAACAAAAATTAAGTGAAATCAGCAGAGTTGTTACCATGAGAGTAGAAGTAATTGAATAATTTTCTTTTGTATGCATAGTTCTGGTTCCACCAACTGAATGGCTAGGGCTTCTGCGATGCAAAGAAGACGGAATCGTACTTACTGCCTTTGTAAGGTCGTTCTTCACTTTGTAGATTACTTTGAAGGAGGAGGCATTTGTTGAGATGGAATGACCAGTGTTGACGAGATGTTCGATTATTGAACTCCTTATACAGTCATTACTTCCTTTCTGCAGCCACGCTGGATAGTGTTCTTTGACCCTTTTACACAGGATGCGCGTTGAACGACCGATTTACCTGGCTGGCTACACAGTGACAGGTGAACTGATATATACACACATAGAAGTGGTCAGGTGCGGGATCATTTTATTACATAACTCTTCTTTAACAATCGTTTGGTGACAACTCATCACTTATGTTATACTACCCTCTTATATCAACATCCAATTCTTCTGAACTTACAAATTGTATTTTGTTGAATTGAATTCTTGATTTTCCCGTCGATTGATTGGACCGAAGTGCTCGGTCTCAGGTTGACATGTCGGCTTCTTGTGCAGATGCTTCGACGATGTCTGGGCATTTAGTTAGTATACAATTGGTGGGTGGTGGCTAGTGGTCTAGTGGATAACGCTTTGGCGTTTGAAACTATGGATACTGGGTTCGAGCCTCGGTGGGAAAATCATCACACACTGAGAAATGCAGGTACATCCAGCTGACGAGTCCCAAATAGGACGAAATGCGCATTCTGGATTCCACTGCTAGCCACCATCCACCAATTGTATACTAACTAAATTGTATTTTGGTTTGACAAATTTAATGTATACACACATATATACAAAACAACCATATTTATTTGCGATTGTACAGCTATCAAAATGAATTCGTCGGCGAAAAGAGACTCTTCGCTGAACTACTGGTCTTCTGTCTATTAATGTTCGAAAGGGAATTTTTCATGAATATATCTAATTAAACAGATATATATATATGGAATTACCTACTATCACAGTACCCACTGTTAACACACATATTAATCCAACTAGTCTGATTGGTTACTCTATGAATATCATCGAAAGTGAGGTGGGAGAGGTATTTTTCGAGAGAGAAAAAAATTATTACGTAACAGAAAATGGTGAGTACTACTCACTTCTGGTGCCATAAATGAAAATGTACCAATAACTTGGCCTTGAAATTGACCAGCAACACTTTGTTCACCGCTTAGACGTGCTGAAGCACCAAAATCTGATATCTTGATTACAGCTCCAGTACTGTCGATTAATAGATTGGCACCTAAATAATAATAATAGTAATAATAATATTATCCAAAATAGAGAACAAAAGATACAATACATTGAAATATTCACAAGTTCGTAGATAGAAAATCTTAAACAATGCATACTGGTCCAGTGAAATTTAAGTGGGTTTTTAATGAAATAAAAGTCAGGTAAAGCTCTTAGGAATCTCTGAATTAGTAAGTTAGTTAATCATTATCATCATCATCATCAACGTGCGTCAGTGGCACATCGGTTGGGACACTCGCCAACCATGCGCAGGTGACCCGGGGTTCTATCCCCCTGCCGACACACACCTGATATCAATAGCCTGAAAAATTTGGGCTACTGATATCACATGCTGAAATTCCATACTTGTACCAAAAATACGATGTGGAATCAAGCTATAATAACGAAAAATAATCCTGATCAGCAAAATAATAAGAGCTGGAAAGAACACTGTGAGGAGCAATTCAATTGGACTACAGCCACGCTCAACCTGCCAAACAACCAACACCTCCCTGAATGGGATATAAACACAGATCCTCCATCCCTAACTGAGGTTACTGAGGCTGGTCACTAGTCTGAAACAAGGCAAAGCAGCAGGACCTGATGGAATGACTCCAGAGGTATTTAAGTACGGTGGAAACAGTTTACTGTCTGGATTAACTGAGGTACTAGACAGCGTCTGGGAATCAGAGGAAGTCCCATCGGGTTGGTGTAAGTCATTGATTACCCCATATACAAGAAGGGAGACAAGTCTTCCTGTGATAACCACAGAGGGATTAGCTTGACTAATATAGTATCTAAATTTGTAGGCTCAATAACATTGAGTAGACTAAGTGGTGCTCGGGAGGAACAAACACGAGAGAATCAGGCTGGCTTTAGACCAGGAAGAGGGTGTATTGATCACATCTTCACCCTCCGACAGATTCTAGAACATAGTCATTCTTACCGACGTCCAACAATCATTATATTTCCTGACCTGAAGGCGGAATTCGATTCTGTTGACCGAGAGGTACTTTGGCGGTGCTTGCTTGGCAGTAAAGGGAATGCCGAGAAAATACATTGCACTGATTAAGGAACTCTACTCGTACTCATACAGCCAGGTGAGGGCTTACGGCGAGCTGTCATCTGAACAGGTAACGACTAGTGGTGTCCGTCAGGGATGGTCATCATCCCCATTTCTATTCAACTTCATCAACGATGTACTAATGGACTTAACCCTAACTCACTTCAGTGACTCAGAGATTGACTTGCTACCATCAGGGAATAATCTCGTTGACTTAGAATATGCAGACGACATAGTCCGTTATGGCCGAGGACGCTGACAAAATCCAGAGTCTTCTGAACATCTTGAGTTGCAATCTACGAATGTTTGGCATGCGATTCGCTCCTGCTGTCAAATGTAAGATGATGCTACAGGACTGGACTACATTGACTCCTAGCTTAGAAATAGGGAGTGACCGCTTCACTTATTTGGGAAATACCATCAACCAGCGCCAACGGGTTGATCTTTGACGAAATCTCAGTACGGATACAGAGGGTTGGTTTCGCATATGCCAGTTTACGCCGTCTCTGGGGTAGACGTGATTTCTGGCTATCGACCAAAACATGGCACCAGTCAATGAAATCCACAACAGTTAGTTTAAGCCAGCCACGTAGGAAGGTGTAGACTGCCTGACTGAATGGTTGGGTTCCTCGGGACGGTAAAAACCAATGGTTGGAAACAATTGGTGATAGGGCTCAAAGTGATCGCTCTCAATGGCTGGGTGCCACAGATGCATGCACTCCCTGTGACTTATGATTTCCAATGAAACTATATTGTTCTTCGTTATTACTATTCTTTTGTCTCATACCTCTGTTTGCTGTCTCTATTATGCATTTCTTCTACTTTCTTCTCTTGGTTTGTGTGCTACATGGAGTGTGACGACTAGAACTGCTGCACATCGGTGCAAAGTTCTATGTCGAAAACAGACAGACAGACAGACAAAAATAATAAAAAATAAATCGATTATCAAAACGTTATAATAAAACAGTTTAGCTAGGTTTAAGATCATAAAGATAATATTTTAAATTTTAATTAGACATTTAGAAGGCAACCTTCACAAGATGATATCATCAGTTCGTGGTTTCTCTACAAGTGGTAGTACAATGTACCACTTATGGAGACTAGTGGAATTCATATGCCAACAGATACTAGAACAAACAGTTCTCTACAATCGCTTTACAACCAGCCTGATTGGTTCACAATAATAAAATCTTCCTTTCACCAGTTTTGTTTCCCCATCAAAGTATAAAAGTACCCTAGTGAAATGTTTGTTTTCAAAGGCCTGCAAAATATACACGAACGACACATTGATGGATGAGTTTCGATACACACATTCAGTTTTATTAGTCAATTGATTATCTAGAAAACTTTATCAATTATCACAGTAAGAATAGACGACATCTTGAAAAGACAGTTTCTGTACCAAAGAAAGCTATCTTTATTAACCTACCTACCATTCAAGGGTGACTGCTCAAAGACTTAGGTCAGCCAAATCTCTTTCCCTGACATGCCGAACATTTTCGATCGCTCTGTACTTACGATTAAAGGAAGAAATTCTCTGAATTCTACTTCAAACTGTATCTACAAGTTCACCTGCAGCTTCGGTGACACACACGTATATAGGTAGAACCAATAGAATATTCCAATGTGGTCGTCGAAGAGAACATGTTCCAAAATCGTTATTAAAACATGTAGAAAATCCCAATGCAATTAGTAATCTAAACATAAATCCAACATCATCATCCATTGCAAAGCACCTATCAATGTCAGGTCACAAAATCAATAAATATTAATGACTGTTTCACAATTATTATTATTTCACATAACTCTAATTCAAGGTTGGTTAATGGTGATGAAAGCACTTTTGGGGATTAATCACATACAGCCTAAACAATAGACTTTAATTAGTGTCATCTACCATGGACTGAATACTTGACCTATTTAAATATGATTGGTCATTCGTATGTACTTTTTAAAATATATAACTGAGTAATTTATTTTTTTATTTTTTTTTTTACTTTTGGTAACAGCTTAATTCCACACTGTATTTTTGGTACAAGTATGGAATTTTCAGCGTGGATATCGGTAGCCCAAATTTCACAGGCCGACCATAGATATCAGGTGTGCGCCGGTGTGGGCTCGAACCCCGGACCATGTGCATGGTCGTTGAGAGTCCTAACCATTGTGCCACCGACGCACATGCATTTTATTTCATTATTATTATGAATCATGTTAGTTGTAAAGCGGTTGTAGAGAAACTACGAAATGAAGATATCTCGCGAAATTTGTCTTCTAAATACCTTACTCAAATTTATCAAAGGGACTAAATGTTTTTTTAATCTGACCACTCCGATCTATTAGTGTAACCTATGTAGTTGACTTAACTCACAGCCATTGCAAGGTATTTTGTAAATTATATTATTTTGTTTAATTGAGTCAACAGGCTTCTTTAACCTAGAGAGCCTGTCCTACGTAAGTGAGTTTTCGGGGTTTAACTGTCACCTTAATTCCTGCTTTTTATTAAGAATCCTACATAGGGTTTAACAGTTTAATTCAGACACCAAGTTAACCCACAAATCAATCTCGAAGTTATCTACAGAATATGTGATAATCTTTCTCAAAGAGTATAAATCAAACTTCTTCAAACCGCAGAAGAAATGACAATTCATCGCAGGTTAAATCCTGAACTCTGCATACAAAAGAGGAAGTTTGTCCAGTCTCATTGGAATCTACAGTCGACCTGACCTATCTGAAAACCAAATGTGTTATTTTTGTTTTCCTCTTTTTCTTGGCTTGTTTGTTTCTTAATTGCATAATTTTCTTCCCCCAACCCTTATAAAATCTCTGTCCTTTATTACCACGATTGTTAACTTGATTTTTAATTTTAGTCGAGTTCTACTCAAACCTCGTTAGTATATTGGTAGTACAGAGGTAGGATGGTCCCCTAGCCTTACCGTGGCCAGAGCAACGTTCTCACTATACTTTTGTTTCCTTCTATTACGTAAGTTTACAATTATTATTATTATTATTCCCATCATCCTTATTTTATTATCACTCTACTACTGTTTATTGATAACACTGCGTTTTGATACAGATTTCCCCCTAGTTCTTTTCCAGTCTACACAACTATATTGGTTACTCATTTTCTCACACGTGTTGTGTCATCCCAGTTTCTGCCCCTTTCCTAATTTTCAATTAGTCAACCCTTCTAGATTACATTTTACATTACGTAGTACGTTTTCGAGGCTAAATTTTACCAGTATCTGAATGGTTGGTCTTATGATTTCTTTGTTAAATATCGTTAAGATTGTACAGCAGCTTATGAAAATGAATCGTCGAAAAGAAAATTTTCTTCGTTGTTTACGTCTTCTTTTTCTTATGACATTGGTATCAAACGTCTATGGTTGGAGGAAATCGGCAGGATGCCTTGAACCTAGGGTTTATTGCTTTTTTTTTGATTTACAGCTTGATTCCACACTGTATTTTTGGTACAAGTATGGAATTTTCAGCATGGATATCGGTAGCCCAAATTTTGCAGGCCGACCATAGATATCAGATGTGCGTCGGTGAGGGCTCGAACCCCGGACCATGTGCATGGTCGGCGAGAGTCCTAACCACTGTGCCACCGACGCACATACTCATCAGTCAGCAGCAAGGCGTATCTACAATATTGAAGGGACTCATGTCACTAATACACGAGGTCAACTGCGAAACAAAACGGCTCAGTAGAAATGCCTGTGACTGCAGCACTGGTTAACGAGTGTTTGAATCTCATAGGAGACATAAGTCCCTACAAGACTGCAAACACGCCTTGCTGATTGGTGAGAGCCAACAAACACTAAATCTAGATCAAGCAAGGCTTCCTACCGAAGGGCTTCAATTATCTAATATCAACAATTCGAAATGTTCCGTGATGTCGAGCCACCTAGTGGCATGGCGACCACATTGAAAATTTGACTGTGATAGAACTCGGTCTGCACCAAACAAGCGACTGCATATATGATCCTGGTTACCAACTAATGGCAAATCAAGCAATTCTATTATGTAACTTGTAATCCAAATACATAATTTACAATATATACCTTACGAGATGAAATTTCACCACAGTTAACTTTGGAAACCGAAATATTATCCAGATCACAATGTGCGGTCAACATAATTCAATTTTGGACCCAAGTGCTTGGCGTCAAGTTGACATGTCGGCTTCTTGTGAAGATGTTTCGATGACGATATCTGGTCATGTAAATTGAAGTCAATTGGTGGATGGCGACTAGCAATGGAATCCAGTCAGGATGCGCATTTTGTTCTATTTGGGACTCATCAGCTATCTGGATTTACCTGCATTCTACAGTCAGTGATGACGGTGCTTCCATCGAGGCTCGAACCCAGTAGCAATAATTTCAAACACCAAAGTGTTTTCCACTAGACCACTTGGACCACTGCTAGTCAACACCCAACAATTGACTTCAATTTACAAAACCAGACATCATCGAAGCATCTGCACATGTCAACCTGAGAGCGAGCCCTTTGGTCCAATCAATCGAGGAGAAAATCTGAAGTTGAATTAAACAATCAATAAGACCCGTTGTACAACAGGTGACTCTCGTGGCCCAAGTGGTCCAGTAGATAATGCTTTGGCGTTTAAAACTATGTGCACTGAGCTGGAGCCTCGGTGAGAGCATCATCACTGACTCATTGGGGAATGCATATATGTCCAGCCAATTGAAGAGTCCCAAATAGGATGAAATGCTCATCCTCATGGATTCCTCTGATAGTCAACATCCCACCAACTGATTTCGTGTGATCAATCTGTTCGATATCATAAATGGTAATCAAGATTATTTTTATTATTATTCCTTTGAGTTCCGAGTGGAATGTATGGAGGGCTTCAACAACACATCTCCACTTTGTCCTATCTTCTGCTGTCCTCTTCAACTGGGTCCATGATTGGCCATAATTTCCTATCTACTCGCCACATGATCTCCTCTATGTCACCCCAGGACAATCCACTCATCATCTCTCACTGGGATTCCAATCGAGCGATGGCCTGCACTGCACTGCGCGCGCGCGCGATGTCATTCGACGGTCTCCTCAATGTATACCCTATCCATCTCCATTTTCTCCCACAAATTTGTTGAGCAATAGGCGCTTAGTTGGTTCGTCGTCAGCTAGCATTTCTTGTTGCTTATCCTTTCTGGCCGACCAGCTGGCCATTTGATCTTCAGTATGGAGACAGTCAGTGGGAATGCATTACGTGGTGTGTGTGCAGTGCACGTTTCTGACCCATATAGAAGACCTAACTGACTGACTGACTGACTGACTGACTGACTGACTGACTGACTGACTGACTGAATAACTTAACATTTGTGTTGAACGGAATCCGAATCTTGTTCTTTATACGGCGGCTGAGTGAAGCAGAAGATTTCCGAACTAGTTTCAGGTTGATGAAAGTGTGTCTTGCCTTTCTGGTCCCCACTGGCTGGCTGGCTTTGACATCTTTATCCGTTCCAGCTGCCGCCTATGGTTGAAACTGTGCTTCCTGGACAGATAAGTGAATGCAGTAACCTCTGTTGGATGTCTCCTTTTGATGGTGATTGGTGCTGGTTGTTGTTATTGTTGCTGTTGTTGGATGGTTGGTAATCTTCATCACTACCGTCTTCTCTATGTTCACTTAGAGTCTTGTCAGTATTGGCTGCTTCTTTAGCCAGTTTGTTGGTTTTCGCCTGCCTGTCTGCCTGCAAGTCCTCAAGTTTATGTGACATAAGACATAAATCATCCACACACAAAATCCAGATATTCTAAAGTCTTCTTATCGGTGGTCTAGAGTACTCCTGTCTCTTCGCTCCCCACTAACAGTCTGACGCATGACCCAATCCACTGCAATTAAGAATATCACCGGTGATATTAGACAGCCAGCCAGCCTTGTCTTACTCCTGTATTCACTTCAAATACCTCGTTGAGTTTTCCGTCTTGGAGCACCTGAAACGTGGCATTATCATATAGCTGTCTCTTGAATGAGGTTGATAAAGACTTGAGCACTGCAAGCCGTAGTGTTGAAGTAGTTTCCAAATCAAGATGGTCAGGAAGACTTCGTGTGTTTTTGGAAGTGTGTGTGGCCAGTTGTTATTTTCAGGCCGAGCTCGCACCATGGAAGTTGATTAATTCTTCGGGTACCTGAAACAGAAAGCGAGTTAGTGTTGCGTGACCACAGAGCCCAGGGGACAACTGCTTGAAGCCGGTTACACACACGGCCTGTATGAACTGGTTTCTGAGTTTGGTTCCGTATTAGTAAACTTACCACCGGTTACGGACCACCGTAGGGTAAGTCGGGATGTACAATTTTTCGGGTCGACCTTTTCTAACCCCCGCCTTCCTCTAGAGTGGAGAAAAAGCATAGCTGGCTGGCATGCTGGTCATCTGAGGGAAGCACCTCATCGCTGTTAATTCCCTTTTCCCCAGCAGTATGACTTCACCCTCAGACCCCCAGCATAGTGTAAGAAATATTTTTACACAATGCCGGTAACTGCGTTTAGTCTAATCACTATCCTAATAACCTTCCTGGCATGGTAGGAACTGCAGGAACGAACATTGGTTTCAGCAAGTGTAGCTTGTTGGCTTATTGCAATGTGCAAGCCCGGCGACCACCACGTCAAGGTAGTAGCTATCGGTCGGGTCCAAATCAAGACAGTAAGTATAAATACATATGATGTTATATACTACTAATTGACTGGTACATAAGTAGTTGATTAGCGCTAACACCACTCAGAAGTTATTCTTGCCAGCCAGCCAGCCAGCCAGCCAGCCAGCCAGCCAGTCAGATCGAAGTGATACAAATGCCGAGATCAGCATAATGAAAAAAAATTATTTAAACTATAATTGAGTAAATAAATAAATAAATCGATGAATCATTTAAATAAATAACTAACATTACCTTTTAAATCTCTATGTAATATTCCATGTTTATGTAGATAAGCCAGACCACGTATCAACTGGATACCATAATTACATGTAATTGATTCATTGAATGCACCATATTGTTGCAACAAGCTGGTAATACTTCCACCTGGCATCCATTCAATAAATAAATCCACAAAACCACGTTTAACACAATGAACAGCACCGAATAATCGAAGAACATTTGGATGATCTAATTGCAGCATAATGCGTACTTCAGTTTCAACTTCAGTTAATTGATTCAACGATGTTGGTGATAAGGGACGTGAAGGATTTTTATTATTTTGATTCTCTACCTCATTATTGATAATTGATTGAAGTTGTGATTGATGCGCTTTTTTCTTATCGGATGAATAAAGTGAAAAGAGAGAATTTCGACCAAGACGTATCCGTTTCACAGCCAGTAGGAGACCAGTTCTAACATCACGTGCTTGATAACATTGAGAGAATGCACCATGGCCTAGAATAGGACCACGTATCCAATCAACAGATTCATAATATTCATCTGAAGTTGGCAATTTTTTAGTGCTTTGAAATGAATTCATCACAAATGATAATCCTGGTATAGGTAATAAAGGTTTTAATTGATTTGTCGAACGGGTCAACGCATTTCTCAACACTGTAACTTGTTCACATTGTAAATCCGCTTCGGAACCAAGGGATCGTCCGGTGTAAATAGGTTCACTAGGATTATTCTTCTCCTTCTTTCGACTTCTCTTTTTATTAATAGGCTTTGCATCACCGTCAACATCATCTATATCCACCAAGTTGGCTTCATCATCGACGTCGACGTCGCCCACCTCCTCCTCCTCCTCGTCGTCGTCGTCGTCCTCAGCATCATCCTCATCTTCATCTTCGAATTCACTTGCACTACTGTAATTACCAGACTCAGATAGAGCAACTAAATCATAGGCTGGTTCTAGAGCAATACGTACAAAAGATGAGTTCAATATTTGAGATTTAATCTTTTTTGCATTCTTATCATCGATATTATTATTATTATCACAGGTGTTATCAACGGGATTTTGATCACGTTGTTCATTGTGCTGCCTGACTGGATCATATTTGACTAGATCCTTTTTATTATTATTATTATTATTATCGTTTAGTTCAAAGTTATTGATTGTCACTCGTCTTGGCGGTGGTATTGGAGGCAATTTCAGTGGAATAGATGAGGCGATAGGCGAAGATGATGTTGAGGAATTATGAAGGGTGATGTTGGTACATTGTTTCTGTTGTTGGTGCTGTGATTGACTTGATGAATATTTATGTTTACTCTTACTATTATCATTATTATTACTATCATTATTGTTTTGATTTTGAGTAATACTGTTCGCCGAGGGTGAAGAAGTCAGTGCAGCATTATAACTTCTCGACGATGGGATAACAACACATTGACTAGTCGACGGTGATGATGTTGATGATACCAGGGATTTAATCATTGAAGAATGCTGATCAACACCTCGAAGCATATTATTCCCTGTTGTATCATTTGGATAAAGTAATAAGCATAGACGATTTCTAAACCATGTAGCTAATGGTGCATCTAATCGATTAATCTCAGATTCAATAAATGTGTTTGCATTGAATGTAGACGGTGGAATTGGATCACAATGATCGCTGACTGGCTCTTCATTACGCCAGGTAAGTAAAGCTCTACAAGCTGTAAGGAATACACGTCTAGCCTGTTGAGAGGAAAAAAAAGTAGAAAAGGCAGTCGGATTAGACTCAAGTTATACTTCATTGGGATTCAATATGAGTTGAACTACCACCGGCTAAAAACGGGCATCGGTGACACAGCGGTTAGGACGCTCGCCGACCATACACATGGTCCGGGGTTCGATCTCCGGCCACAGACGCACTCCTTTACCTCACAAACCCAGTGTGGTGAGAGCAGGCTGTTAGTTAAAATTGGTGGACAGTAATTTACGTCAATGTTTATGTCCCCAATATTGGTCGTGAGAAAAATGAGAACAAAGGCTTTGCGTAAGCAGAAACAGTTAACACATAGATGATCTGACATTCAAAAAACAGCCAGAAAGAGATGCAATGTTAACTTTCTCTGAGAAACAACCAATCAGGAGACTGTTTTTTCTGCTATTAATAATCTATAATAATGTGCATGAAAATCTTTGAATATGTGTTGATTTCCTTAATAAAGGATCTGCTATCTGGCCCTTGTCTTCTGTTGTTACACCAGTAATAAATAAAGCTGGTAAAGAGGAAAGGTTGGGCCAGTTGAGGCTGGCTAGCAAAACCATCCTGTAAGAAATAATCACCACTGCTACAGAAACTTCAAGCTGACTCTAGCATGAAGGTGGCCTATGTTCCACTGGGAACGTGAAGGGAGAAAAGGCCGCCTAAAAAGATGAGGGGATACTACTGACCAGCAACTTGTTTCACTCTGAGACGCTTCAATTTGACGCATCCATCAGCCTAGAAGGGAGTTTAAACTAGGACCTTCAGACGATTGACCACTCTCACAGTCACTAGAATGGTAACCATATCTAGACAGCATCATTGGTCAGTATCCGTCCTTATACTCCAAATTTGTGGACCCCCTACATCACCAGTTTTGACTTCTTATTAGGATTATAAGAAGCTCATTCTTTAGTCACAGTCACCAATGAGAATATGTGAAAAATTGTATGGAGGATTTAATCTTGAGCTGACATCAGTTAGAGAACTACTGGAAAACCTGGGAGTACCAGACAGCTGTTTCGTCCTAGTTTGGGACTCCTCATCAGTACGCACCCACCGGGGTTCGGACCCAGGACCTTCTGGTTACGAGGCGAGCTCGTAGACCATTGAGCCACTGGGACCTGATCCAATGTGTCGGTGGCACAGTGGTTAGGACTCTCGACGACCATGCACATGGTCCAGGGTTCGAGCGCGCACCGACGCACACCTGATATCTATGGTCGGCCTGCAAAATTTGGGCTACCGATATCCATGCTGAAAATTCCATACTTGTATCAAAAATACGGTGTGGAATCAAGCTGTAAATCAAAAGTCAAAAAAAAATCAATGGTTTTTGAATTCTAACTTCTGTCAATTCACGACATAGCACAACCACTTCGCAATGTCTTCTTCTATGAGTTACTGCCTCATCTTCGACCTGCTGTACCCTACTGGTCACGGCTTCCCACTAGAACCCCAGGTTAACTGCCTGAATGGAGCCAGTCGCTAGTTAGCATCAAATCCTCCATACAATCAAAATTCGTGAGTTGTTGGATTTCGCCCGGGTGGTTTATTATTTGCCTAGTGGTGCCTCGTAGCTTATACTTCCTATTAGGATCTCAGGGATAGTACTACTGGATTCCCAAATAAAGGTGAAGTAAATGTTCAGTACGTCCCGTTGGCTTTCAGTATTTCACTAATCCACGTCACTTAGTGATAAAATCGAAGTTGAAGTTATTTATACTTTGGTTGGACAATAAACAGTGTCATGTGCCTAGTCCTACGTTCACTGCAAACTGAACTCTATCACTCATCAATGTGGTCACCATTCTAGGTAGCTCGCCATCACGATGCACATTAATTTGATGACGTTAGATGGTTGGAGGAAATCGGCAGGAAGCCTTGTCTGACCCAGATTTCGTGCTAGCTGGCACCCAACAATGAGTAAGGCTTATCTGCGAACTTGTAGGAACTCATGTCTCCGTCTTCTGAGATTCGAACCGGCATCACCCAGTGAGTGCTGCAGTCAGAGAAGTTATCACAGAGCTATTCGGGCTATCGATTGGCCTCCTGTAGAACTGTATTGGATTTAAAATTAAGAGTCACGTTGCGGCCTGTGATACTGACAAAACTTATCGCTGGATTTAGCTTACGCTTTGTGGTCAAGAAACAGTCTCATTGAACAAATAATTGTTCATCTCAAGGTTATGGATCGAACCTAGTTCGTGATGAATCTGGAAATCAATCAGATCCTCGGGCAAACCAAAACTTGAAAATTCAAACTAGTGACTGACTACAGAATGAAGTTGCTTGGAATTCTAGTCGAAAGTTGTGACCGCCAATGGCATCTAACAAGTTGCCGAGTATAAGGGGAAATATTCGCCAAGGATGACACTGACTGACTGGCTGGCCGCCGTGCTATATGCATAGCGAATTAGTAGAAATGGTAGAATTCATGGGCTACTGGATTCCATTCCAGTGGTATAAATAGGATACGAGCTCATCTTGTAATTTGAAAGTCCTGGGTTCGGTTTCCCTCCCTGTCGGGGGGCGGTGGTCATGGATGAGTACTGCTGTATACTCTCTCAAACAAGGAAGAAAGAGTTGTCTAGTATTCTCCTTCCAGCTGGTTTTCATTGGTTCTCTTACCGTGAAGTCATCAGTTCGCGATTCAACCTTGAAACCAATGAAACCCCTGCAACACGAACACACGTGAACATTATTCAGTGTCATTTCGTGTTTTTTCAAATCGTGGAAAATACCCATCATGACATTAGAGGGAAAAGAACAAGATGTTCAGAAAAGACAACTATCTTTTCGGCGATTTCATTCTCAAAAGCAGCTGTACAATCGTATTTATATACATTAGTTCACATGTATACAATTATTATTTATTTATTTAATTCCACATAGTAACGAAGGAGATATGAAAGTTTGAAGGTACGAATATAGGATACACAGGGCTTAGGAACAAGATCGCATAGTATTAGAAAATAGTTACACACCTACGTAGGATTCTAAATCAAGCAGGAATTAGGGTGACATTTAAACCCACAAACTCACGCAGGGACAAGCTCTGTAGGTTAAAGGACCCAGTTGACCCAACTAGACAAAATAATATAATTTACAAAATACCCTCCAATTGTGGTGAGAGCAGCCTGCTAGCCAATTGGTTGACATTAATCTACGTCAATGTCTAGGTCACTAATATGGGCCGTGAGAAAATATGAACACGGCTGTTTCAACAACCAATCACAGCAAACTTAAACGTGGGCAAATATGATTCTTGGATAGATGGCTCCACTTTCCGAGGAACTCGAAAACAACCAATCAGAAGACTGCGTTTGTCTGCTTGACTAGGCTATCATAATGCATGTGAAATTTATATCAATACGTGTTGATTTTCGGAATAAAACGATCTGTTGCCTGGCCCTTGTCTTCTGTTGTTACACAATGACTGTGAGTTAGGTCAACTACATAGGTCAAACTAGTAGGTCGGGGGTAATCAGGTTGTCAGAACATAAGAATTTAGATAAGGTAAGCATGATTGACCCCACCTGAGAAGATAAGTAATTTAGAAAAAAGTTCAGCAATCGCACTGCATGCATTAACACACAACCACACAATAGGGCGGGAGAGAGAGAGTTAAAATTCTAAAAAGTAATCTAGGTAGGTGGAGAGAGAGAGGTTGATTACTGAATCCTGCCTGGTTCATCGAGTCTACACCCAACACAACACGTGCAATAGGAATGACTCATCACTCATACCTGAAATATGGAAAATACTACTACCAATCAAATCAAGTGAAAATCAAATGAAAAATAATGGAACTATATAAATGAAGTTAGGAAGTCGTGTGATGAGTACCTTGATATGATTATGAGTAGTAATAAATTGTGCTCGAAACGTGGTCATCAGTAAACATTACTGTATAACACGCTATGAGACTTTATCAAAACAAAATTTACCCATAATGGAATTATGTATGGATACGATATATGAGATTACTTACTATACGGTTGGCTTTATACTGTGTATGATGAAAGTAATTTATGATACTCAATCCATTTGGTTGACTTAATGCCGCTGTTGTCGTCGTCGGTGTTCCAGTCAACGTCGCCACAGCTACCGCTGCCGTTCCTCCTCCTGCCGTCGATCCTGACCCCAGTGAAGATTTGAATAGAAAGCTGTTATTATTATTATTATTATTACTATTATTCTCATTAGCAGCATGTGTAACACCACCAGTAGTCGCCTGTAGCTGATAATGATACGGGAAACACATTGTCATATTATCCGGTTTCGGATAGATCGGGAGGAGATGACGTCTAGCAAAGACAATTGTAGAGCATAAATGCCGTCTAGCCAGTGATTGATCATTCATCGCTGTTGTTCTTGTCGTTGTTGTTGATGACGAGGATAACAATGGGGGAGGAGGAGATGAAATCGGTGATGATGGTGTTTCCCCGCAACCTCCGACACCACCACCACCACCACCTTGAACGGATACTTTTTCTCCTGAAATGATATCAACAGTGTTGTTGGTGGAGTTGTGGCAGCCAGTGTTAATGGCTTCATTCGATTGGAATGATTTACTCCCTGTAGTTGTGTGTGGTTGTTGTTGTTCGATCGATAATTGTTGTATGTTTGTTTGATGCATACGAATTAATTTATCCACAATTGTTAAACGACCAATTAAATGGGTAGCATGAAATTTTGCTGAACTTAATACAAAGCGAACCATATGCTGTATACCACTGATAGGTAAACATTGAGAAGCTGTAAAGAAACCACAAAAAAAAAAAAAACAACACAAGTGTAGATAGAGGCTAGAAAGTACTACTAGTGCATATACTACTAAAAACGATTTGCCAGTAGTATATAAAAGGAACGCTAGAGGATGTCAAATCGAGAGAGAATCGGGAAGGCGAGAAACACATCAACATCATCAACCTGAAACAACCAATCTGGAAATCTTCGTCACTCAACTCAGCATCAACAACAAAATTCGATCGAATTTTCAATACAAACAACGTCAAGTAAGTCAGTTCTTCTATACGAATGAGAAACTTGGCTGGCAATTCACAAAGAATATTTCAAACAGCCTGTTGCAGACCTTCATCAACCAACAACTGTCTTCGCTGGATCTATACTGAAGATCAGATCAGATGGCCGGACCGGAAAGAATCACCAACTGTTGGAAACTATGGGAACAAACAAAACAAGAAGGAATCGCCAACCAACAAATATGCAGGAGAAAGTGGAGATAAATGGAGATGGACACTCACTGAGGAGGCCTCTGGGTGACATCGCGCGCGTGTCAGGTCATTGCTCGAGTGGAATCAGGCCGAAAGGGAAGCGGCGAGTTGGTCGTCAGTGCAAGGGTGACATGGAGGAGATCGTGTGTGAAGAGGAGTTGAAAGAGTATGGACTAAGATGGATGGATTCAGGTGAAAAGTACAGCAGCAGAAGACAGAAGCGGCAAGTGAAGATGTGCAGTTGAAGCCCTATGTTCCACTAGGAACCCAAGAGCTGTTCAACAGCATAGAAAATATCAAATAGTGGCGAGATAGATTTGATGTCAAAGAATCCAAATATGCCAGTTTATAGAAGGTATGTGTAGATGTAATAAGCGCCTTGTTCTGCCACCTCGGTTTTAAATTGAATGAATGAAGTTAAGAATAGCAAGCATATCACTTACATCTGTAGAACAGGAAGATAATTGTTTATCTCTCCTAGGTGACAAATTGCTTAGTCGACTGACGGCTTGATGGGTCAATAAAACGATCTATTGATAGAAAACCTAACTACCTGGACAGGACAGTATCCTAATTATTACGGTTTCTGCTCTGTTCGGTACAAAAGAACCTTAGTGAGTGAGGTGCTTCTTCAGTAGAATCCAACGAATAGGCACTGAAGACATACTTGATGAAGAAGAAAGAAAGTTGACAAAAACTCTGGTTGATAACAATTATCCAGAATTGTCGCTGCTAAAGCCAAAATGTTGATCTTATCAATTTTGATTACCCATATATAACCTGTGATATACTTTCAGTTTTGTTGCTATTGTGTAAATTAGATGCAATATTGTACCAAATGCTGAGAATTCCACAACTTTTTACGAGTTGATCAGGATTGATATCAGTTAGAGAACCATTGATAACCACGGAGTACTGGACAGCTGCTGTTTCATCCTAGTTTGGGAATCAACAGCAGTACGAGCTTGCCTTGTAACCGAAGGTCCTGGGTTCGAATCCCAGTGGGTGCGTACTGCCGATGATTCCCAAACTAGGATTAAACACCTGTCCAGTAACCCTGGTTTTCAATGGTTCTCTAACTGATATCAATCCGTGATCAACTCATAAAAACATAACTATTCCTTACAAACCAAACTACAGAAGATTCCATAAGTACGGTTTTGTAATAAAGCAAATTGTTATTATTTTTTGATTTCAACACTGTATTTTTGGTACAAGTACGAAATTTTCAGCATTTGATATAGGTATCAGGTGTGCGTCGGCAGGGGATCGAACCTCGGACCATGTGCATGGTCGGCGAGAGTCATAACCACTGTACTACCGACGCACAGAATAAAGTGGTACCATCTTCTGTCTCTTTGCCTTCTCGTCAGCTGCTTACATGGCAAAGACATTATTAAATATATCTACAAAACCATTTTGACATACTTGCACAGAGTTCATTTTAAACAAAAATCAATCGCATGAAGGATTTAATCAAACAAAATCTTTACAAAACCAATACTTGAAAAATCAATCGATCAATACATGCATACTGTAATAACAGATGTATTGTAATGTTAAACACTATTCCGAACAATGATAATCATACACAATGGAAACTTTTCAGCATTTCGCATTCAGATGAAAGAGAGTTGAAAAAGATATCCAGTTACCAGGCTGGCAAAGAAAGACTGTTAACTGTTTCTTTCTGAACTCACAAATTTGATGGAAATGGCTTCAGCAAATGGCTTCTCATGTTTAGTCCAACTGTATATACAAATTTACATGTATCTGCGGGAGCAGTTACATTAGAAGGACAGAAAGAAAAATGGCATATCTACGATTTTCTAAACATGTACCAAGAAGCCTATATGTCTAAAGGGAATAAATGCTTTAAACAGCGCCATCGCCAGGCATCTCCTCGACACGAGTCATGAGATGGACGTCGAAAAGTCGTTCAAAATTACCAATAGGCAAAAGAGTTCAATTCTACCTAAAGTTTGCTGAAACCATTTCCATCAAGCGCCTGAAACCTGATTTATGCGTTCAGAAAGAAGCGGTTATCAGGCTTTCTTTGCCAGCCTGGTAACTGGATATTTTCATCTGAATGCGTAATGCCGAAAAGTTTTCATTGTGTATGATTATTATTGTTGTTCGGAATAGTGTTTAATATTGCATATATATGTATATATTATTACTGTATGCATGTACTGATCCATTGATTTTTGTTTAAAATAAAGTCTGTGCAAGTATGTAAGCAACTGATGAGAAGGTAACCAAATAACCGATTATGGTACCACTTTATTCTGCTTTATTCAAATAATAATAATGTTCATTATAGTAAGAAGTATTCAACTTACCACAATGAACTTCTCGACCAAGTGCTAAAGCCCCTGATTGACCTTTAGCTAATTCAATCAATGTAGCTAAGGCTAAATTGGAACGATCACGAAAATTAGCGGGAGCAGGAGGAGGAGGAGCAGGAACAGTAATAGGTGCGGCAGCAGCAACAGTTGCAGTACTAAGAGGAGGTGGATGTAGGGATAAATGAGATTTTGTCTGTAGAATATCTAATTCATTATTCATTAACCCTGGCGTTTCCACTGGCGGCTTATTATTGATTGATTGTGAAGTGATGTGATGATTAAACTTTTTCATTTCTTTATGCGATAATTTGATTGTTTTATTCTCATCGTCTTGATGCAGTGACATAGGGGGAATAGGCGGATTATTTACATGGATTATTAGGGATTCTGGACTACGTAAACTCCACAGGTTACTTGATCCACCGACAAACCGCAGTAATCGGCGTAGAATTGGACCGATAGCTTTTTGTAAAGCTGATTGTGTTTCTTTATTATAACAAACTAGGTATCCGAGTAATTCACGGAAAGCTCTCTAGCAAATTGGGAGAAATTTAAAGACAGAAAAAAGGAAGTTAATATGTGCAAAAGATTATGAGTAAATAGTACAAAAATAAACACAATAAAATACAGATATGTATTCCTGTTATATGTGGTTACTAGGAAGGTTTGGTGGATGGAATACAGGATAACATGAATTTCGTCCTATTTTGGAACTCATCAGCTAATTGGATTTACCTGCAGCATCCCTTCTCCCCGATGAGTCAGTCATGGTATTCCCACTGGGGCTCGAACCCAGTACCCATACTTTCAAACACAAACTGGAAGTGATAAGCAACAAGTTGGCGATAGAAGAAGCATCAAAGATAGGACTTACTTCAGGTGAACATAGAGAAAACAGAGGTAGGTGATGAAGATTCCTGGCCAACAGCAACAGACAACAATCAGCATAAATGTGAGGAGTTTGAAAGAAGCAACCTTGTTTACTATTCTTCCTACCTAGGAAGCATCGTCGTTTCAACTACAAGCAGATAGCACTGACGAGGATATCAAAGCGAGGATTGGGAAGGTAAGACAAGCTTTCATTACTCTCAAGTCTGTGTGCAGATCAACAGCACTCAGCATGAAAATGAAAATAAGATCCGGATGGATCAGAAACTTGTCACCGCGTCACGAAGGGCACTTCGAACAAACCACACAACCTCATCAACAGCTGTCTTTGTTCTATACCACTCAAGATCAGATGGCCAGCCAGAAAATATCAGCAGCAGCGAGGGATCTCTAGCAATGAAGGAACCAATTGTGCAACAAATAAGCAGGAAGGAGTAGAGGTGGATTGGCCATACACTCTGAGAAAACCAACCGTCATCAAGTGACATCACACGCCAGGCCACCACTCGAGCTGAACCCGAATGGGAAGTGACGAGGTGGTCGTTAGTGTGAGGGTGGAGTGACATGGAGGTGATGCGAAGAGGAGATGAAAACATGTGGGCAGACATGGAGCCAGGTGGAACTGTTGGCAGAGAACCGAACGCGCAATGGAGACGTTTGGCTGAAGCACTATGTGTTCTTCTAAGAACGAATGGAAACAACAATAATAATAATAACTACTTTAACAACATTTCACTCATCCATCCATGTTTCCATCATATTATATTTACAAATATTCATATTTCCAAATGTACTTTATTTTTTTCGATCATCTATTTCACACACACACACACACACATTTGTCTATTGAACTTTAGGTTGATCACCATCTACTTAGTTATTGCTTCGTATGTCTAATCCTAGACTCCATAATGGATTCATACGAAACGATGCTACAGATGCTGCGTGTTCAATGTCTACAATAATGTTGCAATATGGATGAATTAATACCTCTACGTTCTCTTTTGCTCAGCCAAACTGGGAGGTGCTGTCGAACGTGGTGGCGGGGATATGTTTCTCGACGAATGTCCTATGTACCTAGCTAATCAATGGTGACTAACACAATCCTATACGCCAATATTATCTCACTTTAGTATTTCTACTCACTGTCGAACTTTAACACACACACACAGGGGAAAACTACTGATTGTGTTCCTCAGGGTACAATTCTAGGCCCACTTCTTTTCCTGATTTACGTTAATGAGATTCCATCAGTAGTTAAGTCATCCTGTTTACTGTTTGCTGATGACATCAAGATATGGAGGGCTTTGCACGATGACACTGATCAACTTGCTTTGCAGGAAGATTTAAACTTGTTAAGTGATTGGTGTAAGCACTGAGCCTTGGAGATTAACTTAAGCAAGAGTGTAGTTATGCATGTATCTCATAGTCACGTGCACGATTACTCAATGAATGGCATTACTCTCCCAGTGGTCACTGAGTACAAGGACTTGGGAGTGGTTGTGCAGCATGACTTGAAAACAGCAACAAACTGTAGAACTGCAGCCACTAAGGGTTTTCGAATGTTATGGGCCATACGCAAGGCTTTTGCGAACTTTGACGCTGATATATTTCGTATATTATATCTGACTTATATCAGACCTCATTTGGAATATGGGATTCAGGCAGCGAGCCCGTGTTTCAGATACGAAATAGACTTATTAGAAAGGGTGCAAAGAGTACGAACTAAGCTAATAAAGGGTTTCTCAACCCTGTCATATGAGGAGAGGTTAAGTCGACTGGGTTTATTTCCACTGTCATACAGACGACTTAGGGGTGACCTAATACTAGCATACCGTATCCTAAGAAATGATTCTGGAGCTAATTTATCTAAATTATTTCTTCCTTCTAGCACCAACCAATTGCGAGGACATCACCTCAAGGTTCAAAAACCACGGTCGAATCGTCTGCGTCTGGAGATCCGTTTTCCGCATCGAATTGTGAACCATTGGAACTCCCTACCGGAACACGTCGTATCAGCGCCATCCGTTGATTAATTCAAGGCGAGATTGGACCTCCTGTGTGCAATAAATCGAAAGGATTAACACAGGCATATAGCCTACTATCCTAAATAAATTGTAAACTGTATTTTCTATTGTAATTCATAGATGCAATCGTTATTCAATTCCACAGAATAACGATAAAGGAGATTAAAAGTGATCAATAATTTTCATTTTGATATGAAGTTGTCTGAAAGTGTGAATACAAGGGGCCTGGCAGAAACAAAATTACACAAAAGTAGAAAACAGTTTTTTAACGAATACAAGTGTGAATGGCATGAGCATGGAAACGAATAGAAATAAAATAGTTTTTATAACTGAACATGATAAACAAAAAAATTAAAGGAATGACAAAAAGAAAAACAGACGAAAACACTAAAGAGTCAAACCGAACTAGATCTATGGTAAATGTAGAAAAAAGTTGAACTAGTTTCCTTTGAACACATAGTTCCGGATTTTTGATGTATATGACGGGTATGCGTGCTGACAACGTGTTCAACCATGACGCTTCTGACTGAATTAATGCCTCCCTCCCTCCTCTTTGCAGCCCTCCAGCTGGGTAATGTTCCCTAAGAAATTTTGACAGACCCTGGCATAGAACCCAACCTATGCGCCTAGATCCAAATGAATAGATGAACGGATATATATATGCACACTGAAGTAATCATATGCGGAAGTTTGTCTTTCACATTGCTTAGAAGCAGTGAGTGATTACGTAATGTTACTCTTGATGTTACTGAAGGACACACACAGACTAAGTACTCAACTATAAATAGCAATAACCCAATTACTCACAAAAGAAACTTTGTATGGACATTATCTTCAAATGAGTCCAAACACACTGTAGCACTTCGCTGCTGAATAGCCTCAAGAGAAATACCTACTAACTGTCTTCAAAAAGAATGGATACACACACACACACATACACGCACACACAATTTCAGTAAAAAATTGAAATATCAACTAGAAACCATCATCAATGATTTCAAGAAAATTCATCCTACGGTATATCAAGAATATCTCTAGAATAACAGCTAGAATACTTCGATCATTCGAAATAAACACAGCAGATAAACCAACACAGTTACTTCATCCGATATTGTGCAAATTAAAAAATCTAACAGAAAAAGAAAAATTGCATGGAGTGCGATGAACACTACATCTGTCGAAGTGGGCATCCCCTTCAAAACCGAATCTAAGAACACAAATTACCTGTAAGAAGGCACGATATATATATATATATATATATATATATTCCCATTTCATATCAATGCATGTAGATAATTACGGACATCAATTTGATTGGGAGAATGTATAAATTTCAAATAGAGGAAAGACCAACAATGCGGCCAGGAAATTCCTAGAAGCCTGGTTGGTACTCAAGTGAATTAACAACTAATGAAAAGCAAATCATATATGACAAGAGATTTCGAATTGCAAGTCAATAAAAATGATCAATACAGACGTAAATTGACAACCAGTCACAACAATGGTTGTCAGGCGATACAGTTACATCATTCATTCATAGAGAATTCAGACAAATTCATTCCATACTTAAAACTTGCGCTGAAGATATCTAGAAAGGAAGACAACGAAAGCTTTGCAATTAAATCAACGAGATCCTCAGAGGAGACAACGAAGTCAAGGAAAGGTCTTTTTCAGGGAACTAGAAATTCTCCGCTTAAAGATATCACCTCTCTCTACCTGTCTCTTCTCTATTTCCATCTGAAATCCTGTCTTCTCTACTTTGTTTTTTTTTCAGCCTACTGGCTTTCCATATTTTGTTTTCTAAAATCTCTTTTTGCCTCCCATTCTCATACATATATAACAATATTATTTAAAATACACAGGAGATTAGAAGTACTCATGATCAACGATAAAGGTATTATTGATTAAAAATGCTCAAACACTACCACCATCATCACCTACTACTTACCAGGGCATCAGTGAATATCGCATCAATTGGATCATCTAACATATGCTGAATTAATTTAAACATGATACGTACACAATCAGGTCCTGTATACATTCCATGATGACGTTGATGATCATGATGATGACGATGATTTTTACTTGATGAGGATTGTGAGGAATCATCAACAGCATCACCGCCAATAGCGCAACAACAACAACAACAGCACCCACAATTGGGATCATTAACATCAACACCAACCCCAGCACCATGTTGATTATCACTATTGTTATTATTAGTAGTAGAATTAATTGAACAGACAAGATTAGAATGATCCGAGTGTAAATGACATTGACGAGCTAATAGAACTTGACGGATTGTTAAATGAGTTGTTTGTTGTAAGGCATATTGTCTAATTGTCCAATCATAAGAGACTAATGCATTAGCAATCTATACATATAGGATAGAATAAATGAAAAAGAAAGTTTAATTCATTACAAAACAACAAAAAAACGTTTATCATTATAATCCAGATCTTAATTGATGGATGGTGACTAGCAGTGGAATCCAGTCAGGATGCGCATTTCGTCCTATTTGGGACTTGTCAGCCACTGGATGTACCTGCATTCCCCAATGATTCAATGGTGGTGTTCCCATCGAGGCTTGAACCCAGTGCCCATAGTTTCAAACGCCAAAGAGTTATCCACTAAACCACTTGGGCCACGAGAGCCACCTCTTGTTCAAAGGTTCATATTAATTTTAATTGAATTTTTGGATTTTCCCGTCGATTGATTGGATCGAAGTGTTTCTCGGTCTCAGGGTGACGTGTCAGCTTCTTGTGCAGATGCTTCGACGGCGATATCTGGGCATTTAATTAGAATTTTACTGGCGAGTGGTGACTGGAAGTAGAATCCGGCAGGTACATCCAGATGACGAGTCCCAAATAGGACGAAATGCGCATCCTGGATTCCACTGCAAGTCACCATCCACCAATTAAATACTAATTAAATGCCCAGGCGTCGTTGAAGCATCTGCACCAGAAGCCAACAGACATGTCAACCTGAGACCGAGCACTTCGGTCCAATCGATCGACGGGAAAATCCAAAAATTCAATTAAAAATAATCCAGATCTATTGAGATGAATCAAAATATTACAGGATTTCTCCTTGAGCTGACATCGGTTAGAGAACACCATTGGAAAACCAACAGAGAGTACCGGAGAGCCAGTTGTTTCTCTTATCCTAGTTTGGAACTGTTCATCAGCACGCACCCACCGTCACGCTTCGAATCCACGGCCTTCCGGTTACGAGGTGAGACCATCAAACTATTGGGACCAGCCAATCCAATGGCCAGTGCATGAATTCCAACTTCTGCCCATTCATGACAATAGCGTGACAATTGGATTGGGTCCCAGTTGTTGAATAGTCTACGAGCTTATTTGCTTTTAACCGGAAGGTCCTGGCTTCTAACCATGACGGTGGGTGCGTATTTCTGAGGAGTCCCAAACTAAAACTACAGAAACAGTTGGTTTTGATTTTTTGATTTTTGATTTACAGCTTGATTCCACACAGTATTTTTGGTTCAAGTATGGAATTTTCAGCATGGATATCGGTAGCCCAAATTTTGCAGGCCGACCATAGATATCAGGTGTGCGCCGGCGTGGGCTCGAACCCCGGACCATGTGCATGGTCGGCGAGGGTCCTAACCACTGTGCCACCGACGCACAGTTGTCCAGTACTCCCTGTTAGTTTTCCAATGATGTTCTCTAACCGAAATCAGCTCATGGTAAAGTCCTGTAACCAATGAAATCAAATCCCCCTGTGTAAACCAACTCTTGAATGTGTACATATTGTTTGTTATGTGATATGTGATGAAGGGTATATATCGACATTGTGGGACCCAGGATATACAGGCAATTCATCCTACTGGATTTGCCAACGCACTCTCAATGAGTCATGCTGTCTCCATACACTGAGACACTTGAATGCAATACTTATTGTTTCAAACTTCTAAAGCGTTAGCCATTAAGTCAGGGACTGGCTACTTCAGCCACCACTTCTTGTACAACAGAGACTGAGTTTAACACTTCAATATGACCCGTAAAACTTCAATATGAATCAGTTATTTGAATAAAAATTAGCGAAAGTAAAATTCCTAGGTAGTTAGTTAGAAGCGAATGTCAAATTTAAGTCGGCTATATTTCTTACACATGATGTGAACTTTAAAAGTATACGACATAAATATCCTAAAGACCACGATTATGAGAATCAGATTGTATTCTGATTGGACACTAGTAACTAGTTTGACGTGTCTAGCTAGCGCTTTGTTTGGTGCAGACTGAATTCTATCATTCAGGTTTTTGACATGTGACCACCGCTCTCGGTAGCTCGCCATCATAGTGCACATTGATTTGATGATATTAGATGGTTGGAGGAGATCGGCAGAAAGCCTTGCCTGACCTAGATTTCGTGCTAGTTGTCACTCACCAGTCAGCAAGACAGGCGTATCTGCAACCTTGAAGGAACTCATGTCCCTCCCTCCTGAGAGTCGAACCGGAGTCACGCAGTGAGAGCTGCGGTCAGAGACGTTACCACTGAGCTATTCGGGCTCGCGATTGAGAATCAAATTGTTTGGTTATTTCAGTTGTGTGATGTAATTACTAAGCCCCATCATATCACATATATCACATTGACATATGTAAGAAAAAGCCTATTTAAAAAGATGTGCGCAAATTCTGATTAGTAGTAGGCAAAAGATAAATAATAAGAATAGTAATAAATACTATTACCCATTTTGGGTTCGGAATGGGACATAGGGCTTCAAAGGTCGTTAGCTGGCTCCAGGTTATCGATCAAAGGATGTTTGTACTCTTCAGCAGTTCTGTCCATCCTCTTGTGAGACATGGTCATTAAAAGTGGAAAAAATGAAAAGTCTACTTAGCTGTCTTTGACCATACGTGCCCGAATTCTATCTCCCGTGTTAAGTAATATAGTTAGGTGAGCAATATTGAGGTTAAGTATCGTTTGAGTGCTCGGTAAGGGGAGGGGAGGAAATCAGTCGATTGAGGTGGCTTGAACATGTGTTACACATTACCTAACCGTCCTCGACAAGTAATGTTAGCTGATATATAAGCACGTTGGACAAGAATTAGTGGTGATCCAAACAAAATATGGAATTAGTCCATGACGTTTTTGACAGTTAGTTTGAGCCCCGTTGGGAGACGTACACCACTCGACTACTTGTCGTCTTCCGAACTCCAAGAATCAATGGCTAGAGACAATTGATGATATGGCTCAAAATCCTCGTTCCCGACGGTGCAGATGCATTCGCTCTTTGTGATCTGCCATTTGCATTAAAACCCTTTTCATGGATTGAGGATTTCATCATGAGCTGACATCAGTTAGAGAAACACTGGAAAGCCATCTAGGAGTACTGGACAGCTGCTTCTGCAGTCCTAGTTTGGGACGCTTCATCAGTACGCATCCATCACCAGGGTTCGAACTCAGGACCTTCTGGTTACAAGGCCAGAGAGCTCGCAAACCATTCAGCCACTGGGACCCACCAATCCAATAACCAGTCCATGAATTCATGACATAGTGCGACCACTTTGCAATGTCTTCTTCAATGAGTAACTGCCCTCACTTTCAACCTGCTGCACCCTACTGATTACGGCTTCCCACTAGAACCCAAGGTCACTGCCTGAACAGGGCCACTCGCTATTAAGCATCAGATAAGGTAGTAACTCATCGAAGATGATATTGCGAAATGGTCACGCTATGTCGTGAATTAGCAGAAGTTAGAATTCATGGACTGGCCATTGAATCGGGACCGAGTGGCTCAGTAGTCTGCGAGCTCGCCTTCTAACCAGAAGGTCCCGGGTTCAAACCCTGGGGATGGGTGTGCACCGATGAAGAGTCCCGAACTAGGCTGGCGAAACAGCTGTCGAGTACTCCTAGGTGGTTTCATCAAATGGTTCTCTAACTGATGTCAGCTCATGATGAAATCCTCTATCCAATCAAACAAAATCCCTACAAAACCAATACCTGGAAAACCGTTTTTTTATTTTTCCATGTTGCTATTCTTTATCCATCATATTTCTGTTTATTATGTCTCTCTCTCTCTTGATTAAAGAGACATTGAATGTCTCTTTAGTTTCTTCTCATGCTTTGTGTGCTACATGGAGGGAGTGTGTGTGACAACTCGAACTGCTGTACATCTGTGCAAGTTATCACATAAACAAACATGCATACAACTGAATGCAATGACAACCAAGGTTGTCCCCGTCAGGTGATACAATTATATCATTCATGTGGAAAATTCTAATTTATTCGTCAGCTAACCGGATATAGTGAATGGATTCCACACACTGAGTGACGATGTTCCCAGTGAGGCTCGAACCCAGTACTCATAATCGTTTCAATTAGGATGAAATAAGCTTGCTGAATTCCACTGCTAATCACCATTTGCCATCGAACTACTTCAGTTTAAATCTCCCTAGACATCATCAAAGCATCCGTATACAAGGAAGCCAACAAGACAACACAAAGGTCGAACACACTTCAGCTCCAATGAATCAATCAACAGTGAAAATCAAAACTGATTTAAGAGAAGAAAGAAAAAAAGTAAGTTCACACTTCATATGTGAAGAGTCAGCGACCGGAAGATGTTGTGGGTCTGTCTAAACGGTGGAGACACAATGAAGAAAGCTTCGCAATTCAACTGACTACTACTACTACTACTACTCTATACAATATTCAAGTGTTGGTTTGTAGGGATTTGATTGATAGGTTACAGGATTTCATCATAAGCTAACATCAGTTTAAAGGACAGTGTATACAGTTCAGTAGCAGAACATCTGGTCAATTCAAGACATTCAGCGCTTTCCGAAAAATCCTTCAAAGTAATATACAAGATTCGATCAAAGGGAGTGAAATCAAGACATCTGGGCATAGCTGAGGCGCTAGCTATCCAAAAGCTCAAATCCACGCTTTGTATCCAAAAGAAATATGTCCAACTCCTGTCCCTGAGATGGGCATCATAAACATGTAGTTCTTCTAGTAATGACCATCCCATTGCCTTTCTTATCTAAACTTCCTGTTTATTCATGTTATTTTAAGTTTTTCTTAATCCCTATTTACACTACCATATTTTCATAACCGAACTTCGGGTTTATTTTGTCATTTTACTATTTCGACATATTTAATCCCTGATTGCATAAACAATTATTCATCACATTAGTTTTTTTAACCAAACATCCTGTCTATTTTGTTATTTCTACATTTCTAACCCCTAATTGCACAATGTCAGCCTTCTTAGTTATTATTATGCTACTTTGTTTGAGTTTTATCAGTCCCCCTCCCCGTGTTTATTATGACATTCTAATTCCTAATTGAAATTTTCATCAATTTGACCCTTGACCGGATATTATTCTGGAACTTTCCCATCCATTT